TTGTGTTTTTTTTTACTTCCGTAAAACATTGTTTTATACTTCAAAGTGACTGCTTGAGCAAGAGGCAAGCTCAGTCCCAAGACTCCCTACTACCACTAACAAAACTCATAGCTGGAGTAAACTTTGTTTTTCCCCCAATGAGCTAGAAATAATTGCTATTTCTATTTTCATTTGCAAGTGACTGCTTCTCTGAAATGCATTGACATGGCCTTTTAAGTGTTCATTAGATAAAAATATCTCATAGAGGCTTTTGTTGCTCCATAATTGCATTTTTGTTGTGGTTTCTCCCTGGTGATCAAGGTGCACAGTGTCAGGGGTTTGTTTGGGTGAAAAGTTCTAGATGTTGGAATTAAGTAAGAAGACAAATTTCTGTTTGAGTTGGTTGTATGCTGTTAATGTTTAACTCTGTCAAATTCCAATTTCCCGAGCATATCATTCTCTCCGGAGTTTTACATTCTTGGGAGTTAATTTTTTCTGTTTGTGTATACTTGTCATTGTATCAAAATAGAACATTGTTAAAGAAGAAAAGAACAGAAAGATCACAAGAGTACTCAATTGAATGATAAAATATTCTAAATTGTGGCAGACTGTCAAAGTTACCAATATATTTTTATCTGTGATCTAATATTCTATACGTGCGAAAGATCAGTAACTGCAACTTTATTATGTTGTGATATCTGTGACCTAATTAATTGATTTAATTTAGGATACTATGATCAGCACAAATGTGTGATAGCTGAGCTTCACAGTAATTATTATGTAGTTGGACCAAGGTTCAAGAAGAAATCTAAATTGAGGTAGGAAGAGACAATCTGCTGAATGTAAACTTTGGAAACTTTGTGAAAAACTTTGATTCTGCTAAATGTAAGCTTTGGAAACTTTGTGAAAAACTTTGATTCTGCTGAATGTAAACTTTGGTGACACTCTGCTGAATGTAATTAACTTTGATTCTTCTAGAAAAACTTTGGCTAATCCTACTATCACCAATGGATGCATATTTGCTCCAGATTAAAAAAAAAAAAAAAAAAAAAACCTGATCATTTATTTGTATCTGGATATCCAATTGATGAAGCATATCTGGTTGTCATAACCTTGAATGGACTTCCTGCAGAATTTCTGCCACTTAAGACCACAGCTCCTGCATAATTTTACTCTATTATGGGGCTTTGTATGTTGCTTCAGATACTAAGTCTTCTAATTATGATCTCAGTGTTGCTTACTCCATTACAATATATCACACTCACTCGGTTTCAAAATCAATCATCTGCTAACTCTCGAGGGAATCATAATCAGTTTCGTAGAGGAGATAATACCTCCATAGGAGGTCGATTTCGAGGAAATCCGATTCTCTAACTCAGGCCGACAATCTCAATCTTCATCTTCTTCCTCTGGTTCGTTTCTATTTTGTTAGATCTGTAGCAAGCCTAACCATACAGCTATTGATTGTTAGTTTTATATGGATGCTTCTTACAATTCTTCTACAAAATCATCCTCTCCATCCTACACTGCCTATATGGCTTCTCAATCTGTTTCTCCTCTTACAAATTGGCTTGTTGATTCTGCTGGTACTACTCATGTCACTAGACCTAAAGCATTAGTCTCTCATCAGTGACTGCTGGTTTCTACTGCTCCTGATCCCGTTCTGATTGAGCCTCATAGTTTCTCAGATGCCATTAACACTCCAGTTTGGGCTGCAGCCGTAACTAAGGAATTTCAGGCTATCCAAAGTCAAAACACATGGGATGTTGCTGCCTCTTCCTCCTGGCAAACAGCAAATTGGATGCAAATGATACTGCCCTGAAAGCAGGTCAATTTGAGCACAGCTCTAACCAAAGCCACCTGATACCATCCTCAATTCCAGTGGAGACATCAATACAACCTGAAAAACCAAACAGTGGGTAGAAGAACAGAGAAACAAAGTAAAAAAAAATTGAGAATAGGATCAATAACCTGAGGCAAACCTCACTGATATTTGTACTAACAAACTCAACAGTCCATAGCATAATCACTCATCAAATGAACAGGTTATAGAAACTATATATAAATCAAACCAAATATATATCCTCTCATCTGGTCCATTCATGATAATGAGGTATACCAGCAACCAGAATAAGGGCAGGACCACCTTCAAAACTATTAGATATACCTACTAAAACTTTGTTGTCTTTGTCTTGGTATTTTTGTTGCTATCTGTTGCTTCTGTCTTTGTCTATTTGTTGCTGTATCATAAGCTGTGGTGGTGTGTATATTACAGCAGTTTGATTGGTTATTATGTCTTCAACATGTGTCACTTTCTTGGCCTTTTCTAGGGCCATATTACCAGGCTATAAAACCACCAAATGATCCAATTTTTTTTCACCTACAAAATAAACGTTTAGCATGTTTAGGGTAGTTTATCTCTCTTTGACTAATATGAACGACAAAATACATACAAGCCACGTGGTGAAGATTCATTTGATTCTATGTCCTCAACATCACTTGTAAATTTACATACATGGATTAATATATATATGAAATTAAGATGCTTCATGGATGTTCATTTCTTACTTAAATGTTTGTTAATTATCAGTCTTCATGTATATGTCTATATGCATTAAAAATTTGTGCTCATTGTTATATGAAATTAAGATGCTTCATCTATGGTCATTTCTAACTTAAATGTTTGTTAATTATCAGTCTTGATGTATATGTCTATATGCATTAAAAATTTGAGCTCATTGTGCTCTTTGGCCTTTGATTATGTTAAATTGTAATAGAATGGCTCCTAGGAAAAAGATGCGCCATTTCCCACCACCAAAGAGGGCATTAATTGAACCATACTCATCGCAGACCGATACACCTACACCTACTCCTGAAGGTGTTGCAGCAGATGGATCTCAGACTATTGTACCATCTCCGTCTGAACAAGCTGCATTGTCAGGATCTGAGACTGTTGCACCATCTCCGTCTGAAAGTAATGCACCAGCTGCATCTGAGAGTTGTGAAGCATCTCCGTTTGAAACGAATCCACCATCTCCTCAAAGTCAACCGAGTGGCGCAGGTAATTAAATATGTTTGAGATCTGTCTTCAATTTATATATATTGTTAATATTTTGTAATTTTTAAATACATTAATAATATTATCAATTACCAGGTGCATCTTCATCAAAGCGTGTACGGGGACCAACAGTTGGAAAAGCAACAGCAAAAACAATTGCCAACAATAATGGAAACAAGCTGTACATTCCAATCACGGAGACATTCAATGCATTCGAAGGTGTGCTAGCGACCCCAGGATCGAATGAGGTCGGCCTTCAGATTAGGAGGATGTGCCCCATTCAAGGCATTAGCAGTTGGACTGTTGCTGAGCCAGCGACAAAAGCTGCTGTTGTACAAGCTGTCCGGGTTTGATTAAATTGCTTTCATAGTCTGTGTGGATGATGGAAACAGTGCTTTTATAATGTGCATATAGGAGCTCATTTGTTTTCTTTGTTTACTTTGTTGGTTTTCGAAGCTTGAAAGCAGTGAAGAGATGAAAAGCTCATTTGTTTCAACTTGTATCTATAAATAAGCAGCCCATTCCATCTTAGATTTTTTGGGGAGGGGGTGTCTATAAATAAGCAGCCCATTCCAACTTATTAATGAATCATATTGGTACATGAAATTGTTTAAGGTCCCGTGGTTTCCTTTATTTTTTTGTTTGTTGATATAGCTTTTTTAAAGTTACTTACCATAAACTTCTCTTCATTATTTTATCATTCCAATGGAAGTTAAGAGCAATGCAACCTATATAAAGTACATGACATATTATTCTTGACCACATACATAGGACAACCATTTAGTCTTTTTAGTGAGTGCTTTGTTAACCAACAGGACAATCACAGGCTCTGTGAAATTGGATTCTGCATACATGTTTGATAAACATATCATTACAGAAAATGCCGATTCAAGTAAAATTATTTTGATACCCACAACCACATGTCTATGTTTAAATCGTTATTTTTCTACGAACATAGTATACTGGTATTCCATTTAAACGATGGCAATGTATGAAGATGCGCATTATAAATGTTTGTCAGGTTGCTGCTAAATCCAGTTTAGGTGGACTGTATGGATGGTAGATGTTAAGCTTCCGTAGTCAATTTCTTAAATTGGCTTCTAATGGAAATCATCCAATTATTGGAGTAAGAGAAGTTGTAGTCAATCGCAATTTGTTTTGTAGTTCACAAAATTCATAAATTGTTAGGATAAAGCTTGTGTTCTATTGTCAATGTTACTTGGTTTCTTTAGTAATGATCTCCTATTTGTGTTGCAACTTTCTGAGTCACTGTTTTTTCAATCAAGTTGTGGAGGGCCAAATCTCCTTTATATAATTCTTGAATCTGAGTCATTCCTGTTATTAGTGGAGTGTAATTTTGATGTCTGTTTTTGGGCTATGCCCATGTAAAAGAAAAAGTAATAAGCCTGGTCTTGGCTAAGAGTGATGAAGATAACAAGTGTACTTTATTTATTTGTCTCCCTTCCATGATGCAAGTGTTGTCTGCTCCCAGCTGTGTTGCTGTGGGTTCAAGTCATGTGAATTAGCATGGTCACAAAAAAGTTGGGGGTACGACTTGCCAACTAAGTACCTCTTCTGCACTGGGTATGATGACCTTCGATCATTGATGCAGTTAATACAAATTAGTCTTCATTGAATACAAATTAGTCTTCATTGCCCCAATTCATGTACCAACATGATTCATGAATAAGTTGGTCAGCAAATTCTTTCTTCACAGATTGAACTATGAAAGTGGTGGATCATATATCATGGAAAGATTATAGGGAGTCTTGGTCATAGGTCCCTCATTTAAACTAGTATAATGACACCATTTTAAGGCTTTCGCACTGTTAACATATTTGCAGCTTTCACATTACATAAGTTAAGTTACTTATTGTGTTTGTATTGATTGTAGGATAAATTTGAGATTGGAGATAATTACGAGGAGGATTCACTATCCCAAAAAGTTGTGGAAAAGAAGTGTTATATAAAAATTGGAAGTGCAGAATGAAGAAGAAATGGGAGAAGCTTGTGGATGCGGGAATTGATCCCTATGCTCATCCATACAAAGGAGTACAATCCGATGATTGGAAGTATTTGATTGACCAAGTATGGTTGGATCCTAAAAACAAGGTATGTTATGATTTAGTTATTACTTAGTACTCTTTATCATTGTTTAACTATATATGTAACAAACCCTTATAATCTGGATTATGTAGCGTCGCTACGATGTCGACAAACTAAATAGGAGCAAGCTACCCTACAATCATAGTAGTGGGTTGCGATCTTTTCCGGCGGCGATGAGCATTGCGGTGAGATGTGTGTCATTGATTTTATTAACTTTATCCACACATATTTAATATGTTAGTGTTGATATCGGTGTTTGGCATATCACAGGTGAAGGAAAACGGTGGCTTGTTGCCAGATATTTGCAATTTCTACAAGGACACTCATCAGAACAAGAAGACAAAAGAATGGATTGATCCTATATGCTGTGATTTACATGTAACTATTCCAATCATTTGGACACTTATAGTAACTACTGTGTTTGATTTATATTAACAATAGTTATATGTCACAATTACAGGAGCAAATGACAATGGTGCGGGATGAGTCTATTGAGTCTGGAACACCGATGACACAAGAGGATATATCAAGAGTGGTGCTGGGGAAGAAGAAGGGATACTTGAGAGGTTTTGGGGTCGGACCAAAGCCCTCGTCTTGTGATGTTGGGTCGAATGTGGCATCACAAGCACGTGAGGAGCACTTGAAAAGGCTTACATCCGAGTTGGAGATACTGCGTGCGGAGCAGCAGAGTGACCGTGAGGAGCAGAAAAAAAAGGAAGAGGAGCAACAAAAAAAGGAAGAGGAGCAACAAATAAAAGAGGCAGAGAATGCAAGACAACGTGAGGAGATGCAGATGCAGATTTTTGGACTTCAGATCACGTTGGCGCAAGTTTTGGAAAAGCTTAATCCATCAAAGTCCCCACCATAGCTACTTATGGTAATGGGTAAGTGTGTTAACCAAATTGCATTATATTTATGTTCAAAGTCAAGGCAAATAAACGTGTTATGAGAATATTAGAGAACAAATTGTGAGGCAAAAAGGGGAAAACAACCCATTCGGGGCCAAACATTGGAAACAGCACCGAAACAAATTGGTGGTAGTTTGATGGGGAGAGAGAAGATTGTGAGTGTTTGGATCTAAGCCAAGTGAGATGAGCTTTTTCTTGATGCATGAGTTCCAAAAGTTCTTGACTTCATTGTCAGTTCTACCAGGGAGGTGTTTGGCTATCTGAGCCCATCTGTTGCCTAGAATTCTATGAACATCAATGATGATTCTCTCTTCTTGTTTAGTAAAAGAACCCCTCTTGAGATCTGGCCTCAAGTAATTTATCCACCTTAGTCTGCAACTCTTTTCGCACCTTTGCAAGCCTGCAATATCTCAACAATAAAATTAGAACAAATATTGGGTATAATGGTATTATTACATAACAATATTAAAAGTATCACCAACCAATGATGAATCTTATATTGCGGTAGTGCAGAGTTAGATTAGTGGGTGACAAATGATGTCTACTTAATCTTCTTTCTGATATTTTGATTGTCCGTAACTTGTGTCACCGTTAAACTCAATATTTGTTCCAAAATCCAGTCATTGATTTCTAGAAATGATAATACTAAGTATAAAATAGATCTTGAGCAAGTCCTATAGTGCAGTGAAATAACACCAGACTCCTAGGGATCAGCCAAGCTCAGCACCTGTATTCGATTTCCTTCTTCTATCCCTCTCTTGAAATGAGACAAGAAATAACAAGTAGAATTCATACCTGCTAGTTTAGGAACAGAACTCCAACAGCCATGGCCATGGCTACTGATGTGTGTGATGAGCTTCTCATCTTCTTCAGGAGACCACAGCCCCCTCTTGACTTTCTATTTGCTGCAACAATGATGGCCCATCTCAGCCCTTCACTACCTAACTTATTAGCACAACTCATTGTCTATATATATATATATAATTATTGTGCCCTTGTGGGGTGCTTTTATTTCCTTCTCCTAATAATCATAAAAAAATATCAATCTTTTTCTACATACAGAAGTTTCTGTAAACTTCAGCTTTGTTATAACTTCTAAATGTGATGTAGATGAAGTGTGCTTCATTTTATATTAATATATTTATGAACATAGCTTTTACATGAGAGAGAGAGAGAGAGAGAGAGAGAGAAATGTGATGGAAAATTAACTTGGGATGTACTCATGAGAGGAGAGAGGACCAGAGGGGTCTCATTGAGTGTTTTGGCAGTTTCCAAACCATTTGTCCTCCTCTCAACCATTGCTCTCAACTTGGTTAACACTCTTCTTTAATCAAAGAAGAGATAATATTCCCATCACACACACAATTTGTTGACATAGTATGTACAGATGCTACCCTTCAATAAGCAACATCTTGAAAACCAATCAATTGCAACTTAGAAAATGTTCACAAGACCCATCAGCAGCTTAGCTTCAAACCCTTCACAACCCTTGACTCCTAAAAACATTTTGTCTTACCTGAATGCAAAATAAGTAGCATAAAAAATATGAGTTGAAGGTAAGTGTTTTATTTTTTTGTTTGGTGTTGGTAATATGCTTCTGATGATATGGGTTTGTTGTTTTGCTGGAACTTGTGTTGATAATCACAACCTCGTATCTTCCACTCCGCTCTCACACTTACCCTTCTCCAAATAAAAGTTCAACCAAAGCATATAGACTATTCAGAAGTAGAAAGACTATTTTAACTTAGTTTCCATTGTTGAAGCATAGGTCAATATTGGCATATTGTGGAACAATAGTTATAATTGATATATACATATGAATGATGTTTAATTTACAAAATGGTATTGATTGTCATTTAATTTGTTAATGTTTCCTTTACTTTCCATGTAGAAAAAATATTTTTTGTCCAATTTTACAATAAAGTTATGTGCAAATATTTTTAACCAAAAGTTACCTGACATTATTTCTCATTTTCTTTGGTACAGATGGATGATCATGTGCACAAAGCTAAATTGTACAGGACTAATGGGCACTATAAGCATTTTTGGAAGGAATATATATTTTTGAATAGATGTGTATGGAAAATATTTGGGAGGAGTAGTAGTTATTTTTTTTGGATGAATGTTGTATGAAAAATATTTAGATAGACTACTAGTGTGTATATTTTTTGATAGCTGAGCATGGATAACAATTTAAAACATAATAACAACTAATTGTTATGTTTTAAATTGTTATGCTAGATGGATGTGACTTGGATAATTATATAGATTACAAGTGGATTTTTAATTGGAGGAATATGTATCTTTGAAATTACTTGTGGATGAAAGTTTATAATAGTTGATGACTTTCATTAAACAAGTTTAGGCTTGGATGATTTATATTTTGTCGATTGTTCATGATTCAGTTGATTTGAATGAAGCTTGCAAATTACATATTATATTGAATGAATTGGATGAATTATTATGAATTACATGTTTATTTTGTTGGATGTTGGCGACCAAATGTTGATCTTGTTTTTTTTATTATGAATTACATGTTTGTTTTGTTGGATGTTGGCGACCAAATGTTGATCTTGTTTTTTTTGTTTTGGCGACCAATTGATTAGTTGGCAAAGATAACTAATACTTTTGCCGACAAAATAATTAGTCGTTAAAATCATTAATTTTGGCGACTAAAAAGGAATTTGGCGCTAATAGGTCAATTGCCGACTAAAGTTTTAGTTGCGCAAACATTCTTTTTCGCGACTAACATATTTGGTGGTGGAATGTGACAATTGCCGACTAAACTTTTTTGGTCGTGGAATGTGCCATTTGCCGACCAAACTTGTTAGTCGTGGAATGTGACAATTGGCAACCAAATTTTTTGGTTGTGGAAACGAGCCTCAGTTGCCGACCAAACTATTTGGTCGTTAAATGTGCGAATTGGCGACTAACATATTTGGTCGGGAAAATATGACTTTTCGCGACTAAAATGTTTTAGTTACTAAATGGATTAGTCGCAGTAATTATATATTTAGTGACCAAAAATTTAGTCGGCAAATATGACTTTTCGCGACTAAAATGTTTTAGCTACTTAATGGATTAGTCGGAGTAATTATATATTTAGCGACCAAAAATTTAGTCGGCAAATATGACTTTTCGCGACTAAAATGTTTTAGTTACTAAATGGATTAGTCGGAGTAATTATATATTTAGCGACCAAAAATTTAGTCGGTAAATATGACTTTTCGCAACTAAAATGTTTTAGCTACTAAATGGATTAGTCAAAGTAATTATATATTTAGCGACCAAAAATTTAGTCGACAAATATGACTTTTCGCGACTAAAATGTTTTAGCTACTAAATGGATTAGTCGCAGTAATTATATATTTAGCGACCAAAAATTTAGTCGGCAAATATGACTTTTTCGCTAATTACTTTCCGCGACCCTCAATTGGCGACCAAAGTGGCGACCAAAAAAATTAGTCGCGGATGACTTTTGCCGACTAAATTTTTAGTCGGCAAAAGTGTTAATTCTTGTAGTGAATATTCTATGATTTTTTTTTTTTAATGGAGAATGCTTCTTTTTAGTCCTCAAAAGGATTGGAATGTCCAATTCGGCCCGTGGACTTACCACAAGTCCCACTTTTAGATTTGTTAAGTTTAAATATGTAGATCATTCATATTTATCACATCTATATTAAAAAAATAGATAAACAAGTTTCAAAATCACATTTATTGTCCCCTTTTTTAAAAACCAATGTGATGAAATCATATTGTTGAAATTATCAGATCAATCTTTCTTTCTTTTTTTTTGGTGTGCGTGCACGCACGTGCATGCTTGTTTAGATGATCTACATGGAGAGATTATCAATGAACCATCGAATTGAGGCCCTTAGATTGTCCATAAGCCTAAACTGGACTATCCAGTCCTTACAAAGCTACTTTTTTTTTTTGAAATATTTTGTAGTATAAAATATTTTTATAGTCCCTAAATTATGCATTGTGTCACTCGGGTTGTCTAAATTTCAATTTTGTAAAAGTTGTACTCAAAGTTTTTAATTGAGTCAATTTGATCCAATTTCAAACAAGGCATCTAAATCGGTAACCAAAATTACAATAAATCATTAAAAACAATATTACAAAAACACGTAACTGGAGCATATATATATTTTTTTTGAGTTGTATATTATAGAATTTCCTTTTCTTTCCTATGTTTATTGTAATGAAAAGCATACTTACACGCACCATGTCATTGAGATCAACCACTGTTTTTTCATATAATCTTAACCAGGCAAACTTCGAGACGGGCGTGTAGTTGCAGTGAAGTGATTATACAAACACAATTTCAAAAGAGTGGAACAATTCATGAACAAAATAGAGATCCTCGCCCGCCTTCACTACCCAAACCCCGTCTTCCTCTATGGACGCACCTCCCACCACTGCCACGAGCTCCTCCTCATCTATGAATACATCCCCAATAGCACTATCACCGATCACCTCCACGGCAACCGCATAAAGCCCGGTTCCCTCTCTTGGACTACAAGAATGAGCATTGCATTCGAAACCGCTAGCGCGTTGGCTTACCTCCATGCTTCTGACGTCATTCACCGCGATGTCAAAAGTAACAACATCTTGCTCGACAACAGCTTTTGCATTAAAGTTGTTGATTTTGGACTTTCTCATCTTTTCCTAACTGATGTGTCCACGGCCCCACAAGGTACTCCGGGTTATGTGGACCCCGAGTACCATGAATGCTACCAACTTACTGATAAGAGTGACGTTTATAGCTTTGGGGTTGTTTTGATCGAACTTATATTGTCTAAGCCAGTTGTGGACATTACAAGGCATCGCCACAAAATTAATTTGTCTAATATGGTGATTAATAAGATTCCAAATCAAGAACTTCATGAGCTTGTTGACCCGTGTCTTGGGTTTAACTCGAATTATAAGGTGACGAAGATGATCAAGGTTGTTGCAGAGCTGGCGTTTCAGTGTTCGCAAAATGAGAGCGATATGAGGCCATCGATGAAAGAAATGTTGGAGGTTTTGAAGGAAATCAGCAGTGTGGGTTATGATAGGAAGGTTGCGGACGAGATGGATATACTAGAAGATGATGTTGTGTTGTTGAAAAGTGATCCACCGACGCTTTCACCTAATTCTTTGAGGCAAAATTGGGTTAATAGGGGAAGTACCACATCTAATGCTAGTAGTAGCTAAGTTAATGTATCATTTTAATGCAGTCAAGATCCATTTTATAGTAAATTTTGGGTGATAATGCCATCTTATTTCCATCATGAATATGAAACTTACTCTGAATTATATTAAAGCCTTTATATATAGTGATAAAATCATTCATTGTATAAGTCGATTGAATTTTTTTTTTCTATTCATTGTTTCATTATTTTTATTTGTTCTTAAAACTAGGCAATGAACCGCGCCCAATTTCCTAGTCTTAATTTGTCATGTCGATAAATTTGGGTCGATTGAGAGAATTTTTTTCACAAAGCAAAAGGAAAAATGAGAAAATTATTATGAAAAATGTTAAAACAAAAATTAGATCATATATGTGATAATGTCATATGCTTTCATTTTCATGGTCTACCAGTGATAATGTCATGATATAATCGAAGAATTTATTGGGTGTTCTCGGATCAACACGTGCACGTGTTGTAGGCATACCACAATACAATTTTAAGGTCACGTGACATTCCAAGTACATCCAATGATTTCTTGTTAGAATGAGTCGGAAATATGGGAAATGTGATCAAGGATAAATTTCATCATAGGGAACTAAATGAAAAAATCTACTGATAAAGAGGTTGCATATAAAGTTAATGCTTTATTATCGTTATTATTATCTTTTTCCTAGATTTTTCGACACCACACTTGCAGTGCTAATGCTAATCTCATTGTAGCCGATCATGTCAGAGGTCCTTTTTCTGTTAAAGGAGTAAGATACAATTATCAATCAATCATTTTTTTGGAGGGGGAAAAAAGGAAACAAAAAAAAGAGAGAAAGATATCCTATTTTGGGCTCACTATGTTATGCATAGAAAGGAGAGAATCGTATCAATGTGGCAAGGATATTAGTCTAATTTTTGTAGACTATGGAATGATGAGATTAGACTAATTTTTGTTTATTCCCGAATTCATGATTGCAGAAAAAAAAAAAATTCCCATATCTTTTTTTGTTTTTGATAACTCGGCATCCAGTCTAATAGACCAACTAGGGGACAAATCCCACAGTCCATTAGCGTTTCCCATACCTTATAATAGAAGAATTTGAAGTTTTGTTCATGAAAAAAATTCTAATTTTTGTTCAAATTGATTTATTGCAACTTTTGTGTAATAGAAGAAAAAAAAGGTAACAAGAAAAAGAAAAGAAAATGAAATTTACAACCACAGTAGACATCTTGCTCTGTTTTACTAGAAAAAATTTAGAGCAGCAATTAACATAGCAACTTCAAACAAAATTTCACTACTTTGAGGATCTTGAGGAATCTACTTCACATGATATTATTCTACATAAGCTTTGCAGTCCATAATGTTTTTAACCTAGAAAAAAATTGTTACATTGATTCAACCTCACAGAATTCATTCTCTTATAATAGTTGAATAGTAGAACACGTGATTGGTGTTCTTGAAGGTGAAGATAAGAATGGTTACAGGGAAATATACAAAGATTCTAGATTTCCTTCAGGCATCTCAATCACCTTGTTAATTGCCGGTCCATCTGATGGATTAGCTTGTATGCAACATAGACCGACTAAAATCATCTTTCGGGCAACTTTTTCATCCTCTTCAGATTCAATCCCATCAAGTCCTATGTAACGACCCCAAAATGCGTATCAAAAATTATCTCTATTTAATTATGGGCTAATGTGCTTTAATTTACTTATACCTATTTGAATTGAGGAATTATATGTCGAGTTACGACCTTGAAACTGAAATTGCCGACCTTTATGGCTTCAGAAATCAAAATTGAGTACATGGATATGCTAATGGGAAATTTTAGAGCTATTTGGGAAAGTTAATTGGGAATTTATTTCGTCAGATTCGTTAAGGTGTGCTTGGGTGGTTAACTTTGCACTGCAAATTGAAGGCCTTAGAGGCTTCAGAAACCAGAACGGAGTACATGGTTATAACCGGCATAATTTTTAGAGTCATCTGGGAAGTTTAATTAAAATTTGATTTCGTACGATTCGTAAGGGTGCGTTTTGCTCTCCCTAATTGTGATAAGCTTAGGTATATAAAATATATATATATATATATATAACTCATCACTTGGAGTCCAAAATATCTTAGGGAGAGGAAGAGAACCGATAGAGA